ATTACACGTTGCATTTTTTTTTATTTAAACAATCGGTAATTGACCTACTAATCGAGTAGTGGACTTAGTTTGCAATCCTAATATTAAATGGGAATGAGAGTGTATTTGTTTATTACATTTTCACGCCTGAACTACTTAACTGATCATTATAAAATTTTGTACGCACATTATCAGGAGTACAGAGAGGAACATAGGGTAACTTTTATCCCGAAAAGAAAAGTGTTCCCGAGGGATATCGAAATTAATTTCATGTGGATGTCGATTATCTTAGTGCTCATTCATCCCATTGAGATTTGTACTACATTTGGTGTTAAATTTCTCCTGTTTCATAAAGTGAGTATTTTGAGGATGATTCTTGATGATGAGTTTTTGTGAAATTCGCGTTAATCAAGTTCAAACATGGACGGGTTTGTATTTGTTAAAAGGAAAAATAGAGAAGTCACAATAGTCTTAATATTTAATAACATGATACGTACAAATATAAACACATCATACATACAACAGTGTTGTGGCTTTCATTCTAACAATAATATTAACATTCACTAAAGTGTTTTAATAACTTGGCCACTTAAAATAGTGAAATTCAGCCTTCAAATAAGTCCAAATTTTGTAGCTATTCTTAAAGTTATGGGTCATTTTGTCATATTTGTTGTCTTAACTAATGTAAAATAAAATAATTAAATTATGATTTCTATTTTCATACTTCATTTTAGACAAGTATTAATTGAAATTAAGAATTTTATATCTACAACTTTTTACCTTATTAATAAATAAAATGTGTTTAAACCTTGTTTGTGTCTTTCCTGACACGCAGTCTCGTATTGTCACTTTTCAATTGAATTATTATCAATTGACTCCGCTATCATAGCACTTGGAAAATGGTCATAAAAAGTTAATTACTTGGTTATCTAATTCGTCAGTAATAAAATTTTTTTCATATATGCTTTAAGTTTTTCAGGGTCATTAAAAAAGTTAGCTTCTCAATACATAGTACCAGGGGATCATAATTCAGAACAGTAAACGTACAGAACGTATGAATAGGGCGAAATAGGAGCAATTCCATTTTTAATGTCTATTTCAAAATATACTCAAAAATACATATTATGTTATGTGATACAAAATTGCTCTAACCAAAATTATGATATACCTACTACTCAGTATGAATAAATTGGCCTGACCGATTTTATTAATATATTATCTTGCATCATGTGATTAACAATTTTTGAGTGTAAATTGAAATAGAGATTGCTAAAAAGTACTCCTTCTACTTTGTACAATTCATAATAGGGAATCTTAATTCACTACTACTCTGATCCCCTGATAGGCGAGTGGTGCACTACCAGAAAGATGTTTAGAAAACCACTGAACCTGTCAATAAAGGTTGTCGGATTGAAAGAAAAAAGGTTCAGTAGAAGCTGAGATGTAAATTTTTCAAGTCATTGACCTTTGGCCATTTTCGAATTTAAAATCACCTATAACTGAAGGAGTGCATTTGTTTGAAAAATTGCAAAAGTTGAAAAGTACTTACTTTTAACAATTTAACCTAATAACAGTATTTTTAAACGATTTTTTGATTTTGTTTCTCAATTTTGCAACATTTTGTGAATAATAGATTACCTGTCATTCGAGCAAAAATGTTATTTCCCTAATATTGTAACAAATTCATTGCACCTAAGATTAGTTTCAGTCGGGCAACCTTCTTCGGGAGGTTGAATGACATTTCTGTGCGTCCTTTGAGAGTGCACCACTCGTCTATGATACCATGTATTCAACAGGTTCAATGCATGCGTCCTGTAGTTGACGTCACTTAGGTATTATTTTTTTTTTAATGATCTGACTACCAATTTATTTTAACTGACCAATTATATTAAATATGTTATATGCCTTTCATTATTTATTTTATAAGAAATGATGTAATTGACCTATTTTGACCATTTTCTGATCTTTAAGGTGGTATAGTTGTTTTTTTTAATCCCATAAAATAGGAGAAGTGTTACTATAGCAGAGCCTTATCAATTCCTCTAGAAAAAGGATCAGAAGGGATGTCGCGAGACAACAAATATGGCATTTATTACATTGTTTGCATCTATCACTGTAACTAATTATAAAAAAATAAATAGGTATTTACACGCTTAAAAATTGACACATATTGACAAGGTTCTTTTTACAGGCACAAATTATCAAAAATTCAGAAGTGGTCTTCATTTGTGAATAGGTAATGTAAATTATTAGAAAATATTTTTCATTTTTCATTTTTTGTTTTTCCACTGTACCATCTGATGTGTGGTATTCATAAATAAGGAATGTCAATGAAATTATTTACTGCTACGAAAGATAATTACCTTTTAACCATTTACTGTAATAGTTACTGGCGTGTTCACTTCTGATTTTTTGACATTCTGCAACTTAGATGACCAATACAGGTGGTCTGGAAGGGTCGATGTTCTTCATTAAATGAATATAACCGAATTTAGTCCGACCCTGATCATTAACTATGGGCGTTGTTCAGTTTTGGACACTGTTACAACATTATAATACAATAATAATAATTGTAATAATTATTATTAGGTAGTTGTTTGTGCTGGTTTTCTAGCAGACGAACTCTCCCCATTGTTGTACCCGTCAACTAGCGTGTCGAGTATGAATTTGATGGTGATTTTGTAAATGTTTTCGACGTTTTCCGTATATCGATCGCCCAGTGTTTGCTCAACAGCGGTTAAGAAGGGCGTTTCAATTTTCTGAAATAAAAAGTAAGGATGAGTTAGACATCACAAATAGAATTAAAATTATAATCACACAGTAAAAAACAACTAATTTCATTAGTTGGACGTACGAGCAGGGCATATCGTACATGAAAAATTTTAAAATGTGTATGGAGAAGTGTGAGTAAAATAGCTTACTAAGGTAAAATGGGATACCGTTGTTAGTCATACAGAGATAAGGCAAAATGTTTACCGAAGGTAGAAATTACACATTTCTTTGTCTACTTATCTTAAAATGTATTGACAAGACGGTATTGTATGAGAACTAATAAAAATAAAGCAAAAATATTGGTATGTAAGTAATGTAAT